TACAAAGAAGCAAAAGAAACTCCTGGTATGGCAGAATACTTGAAGAGAGTCTCAGAAAGGGATAGAAGAGCATTAGCTGTTTTTCGACTAGGCATAAACAAGTGGAGAAAGAGGAATTGGGAAAATAAATGTCCTCATTGTTGGAAAGCGGAAGATGACTACCATGTTATGTTAGAGTGCGAAGCATTATAAGGACATAATAATAAAAAACTACCTGAGCGAGTATTTTTGGAAATCCCCAAGTAAATATAAGTTGATGCAACTGTTTGCTAAGGATAATAGTGCACTGATCTGGAACTCACTGGCTAAATGTATCCAAGAAATACTAGAAAAAAGGGAAAACCACCCCTTGCTGATAAATACAGATCATTCCTGAAGGGAAAAATAAATTTAAAAAATTAAATAAAGAACAAGAAAGAGAAAATACATGTACAGAAAATGGGCAAGTACGAGTTTTAGGCAGAATCAATAAAAGATGACGTAGAGGTGTGAATTTATGGTATTTTATGAAATTATGGCATGTGCGGAATTACCTAAATAAACTGATTGATTGATTGAATAAATAGCGTTGAATCCAGCTCGTTCTACCCTCTGCACGTCCATCCGGGAAGCGCGGAACGGGAAGGACGAAACGTGAGAAGAGTCTCGTTCGCTCGGCCGCGCAGAGCCTTCGAGAACACGCCGCGACCGTCGGGATCGCACACGATCTGCTTGCAGCCGGCGAAACGCGCGAGTCTCCGGTCGATCTCATCCGCCAACCCGGATGCACTTCCTGCCCGGAAGTCCCATTCCCGCATCGCCCGGGCGGCGATCCGCATCTCCAGGTACGCCGAGCCGTCGAATCCGTTCCCGGATCCGTGCAAGACCGTGGATGTGCCGTGGATGATCCCCACTCCCTGTTCCTCGGCGGACGGGCAACGGTTATCTTTCAGTCTGCAATGTTCCCCCCTGGAACAAAAATTCGTTTCGTTGGAACCAAACCCAGCGCTGGGAAGCGATGTCCCTCGCTGGGATACGGATGGCCCACCGATCCACGCTTTCGGTCCATCACGGGTCCCCGTTTCTCAGGATGCCCTCAGATAAGGTCGCTGCTGCGTGCACTTCATCCGCCCGTCGTAGTGGCCTTCGCGGTACCGATTCTTCGAGACTTGAGGCAGACAGAAGTCGTCGTGACGTGAGTATCGAGTATATAGGAAGTGAGGGTAAATTTCCAGCTCCGCTTTTCCAAAATTCTGGAGGAATCTCGAAAAAAGTCGTGGATCGCTGGGCCAAGTGTATCCCCTTTTCGAAGGATATTGCTTCAAGTAACGAAGCAACTTAAGTTCCTCTCACAAATTGCAACTCTTTTAAATTTTGATAACTCAATGATTAGTCAAGGATTTTTTGAACATGGTTTTCGCCTCACCTTGAGGGTTACATAAAATTAACTTTAATCTTATTTAAAGCGGTTCTCTCGATGCATCTTTGCCAATTTTGTGGTAACTACTAGGAGCAAAATTTCAATCCTTTGCAAGCTCCACCCCGTTATAAATTTTTTTTTGTCCGGATCGCCGAAATGCTTCAGAGAGGAACTTTTCAGTTAACGATAGAGACGCAGCTGAAGGGCGTCGTGGTCGTTGGGCCACTGAAAATCCAAAAAATGATACCTGTAATTCCATCTGCAGGGCACGGTATTGAAAGCTTCCGGATGGCGATGACCGTAGACGTTCAGGACGTCCTGGTCCAAGAAGCGCAGCCGTTCCCCGTACTCGTCCAAGATCTCTCGGACTTCCTCCTTCCACCGGGTCGACCGGATCCTCTCCAAGTCCATGAGGATGACTCCCGATTGAATTCCCGTCGTCCCGTAAAAGGGCGCGGAACGACCGGGTTGATAGACGGAGGACCTAGACGTGTTTTCGGCTTCCAGGGTGAGGCTTATCAGCTGGGGTGGCTCCAACCGGCCGAACGTCTCCCAGACCTCCTCCAGACCCACGAAGAAGAGCGTGTCCGTGTCCGCGTAGAGGGCGAGCGGAACGTCGGGCAATATCTCGGGCAGGTGGAGCCTCTGCCAGAAGCAAGGCATATGTACTTTGTCCAGAATGTGTCTCTGCCTCCAGGACATCTGCACGCGGAAGATGTCCACCGTGTCGAATCGCACGTGAGGAGGCAGCCCGTCGCGGAGGCGTTTCAGGACCTTCGCCGCCGTTCTATCGGCGACGACGACGAACCGAAAGGGGACCCGGGTGAAGAGCAGCACGGATCGGAGGGATTCCAGTAGTTCCACCACGATCCCCCTCCCGCAGGCCGACATCACGAGGACCGGCTTCGACGTCTGGTTCGCGTCCGCGACGCCGGTCGTCACGTCCGGGTGGACCCAGTACTCCGGTATGGGGATGTGGTAGTCCACGACAGTGCTGCAGGCGAGGTAAAGAAGAAATAACGCCGGGGCGCAAAACTGGAACCGTTCGAACCTGAAAGAATGGAAACGGCTAATTTAAAAAATCTATTGCCCCTCGAAACTCAACGTTCAGAGATGAAGTTTCTCGTCGTTCAAAGTATCAAATTGAACTTAATGTATGCCCACAGACGGCATCTCCTAAGAGGAGAGCGCGGAGTCCATAACCTGCAAGCCCTTGCGACTTCGTGCGTCCCATGCCAACTTAGTACTCGAGGGACACACGGAACGTTTTAAACACCGTATACGTTCGGCGACTGACCGCATCGAGGACAAAACCGATGAGATTTCATCGTCTTCCGCCTCTCTTCGTGGTACCGAATCCCGACAACGGATCAACGAAGCAGTAGAAAGTAGTAGGATGAACCAAAGGCCTTATACAGTACTAAGAAGACAGGGCACTCTGCGGCGGTGCCTTTCGTGTCGGGGAAACCGTCTGCCCTGGTGGTTGGCCCTGGAACGACGCATGATCGACCGATGAGATTATTGGATTGGAATTACGCGTAAAAATATGGTGGTTACTGGGTCACAGTACTGCTCCTACGTACCATGCCGAGAGGAATGCGGTCGAATGGGTGGAGACGTTCTTTTGCCTCGGTTTCCCAAAGGCACGCGCACGCGTTCACTGGGGCTTTGCACAAGGCCTATGGCCGCAGATTTACAAATATGTAACAGGCGGATGAGATAAAATGCCAAATAACCCTAATGGCTCGAAACAAAAAGGTAAAATGTATGCGTCTCGGAATGAATGTTAGGCATAGATAGCTCCCGGTTTTGTTTTTGTTTTTTCCTGAAGGCATCATAAATTCTAAATTGAGCTAACCACGGAAGGGGCAACGCGGAGCACAACCTGCAACTGACGCATTCCAAGCATTCTCAACCAGAAAACGTCATACGATCAGAGCTGATCTAAATTTGATTCAGCATAGGCCTATCAAATTCTCAAATTTTGAAGTGGTTTTCTCTCGAGCCTGATGATTCTCGTTCGACCGGGATGTTCCCCACGCAGACGCAGTAGTGCCCCGAGTCGGGTGAAAAACTGATTCGAGTGAAAAAGGCTAACATTTCCTTGAGGGACCTGACTCCAGACCACATTCACGCTCCGGAGAGCCTGTGGATTGAGCTTTTTTTCCATAACCGATACAATTTTTCCAAGTGACTTCATTCAACCTTTAACTTGGGCACCAAAAGCTTATTCACAGGAAATATACCCTCACCTCCCTGAATGCGCCATAGAAATAGCCTCAAACTTGGGCTCGAATTCATTTCAGATACTCTAGCGCTCTCTTCCGCGAAACGTGGACGTTAGTTCCAGGGCCAACCACCTGGCGCATAGACCGCCATTGCGGTTACCCTGCATGAGCGCAGAGTGCCTGGTCTTCTGAGTATAAGGTTTTTAGGCTGTTCCCCTCCCTGGGAGAGAACGCGTCCGAATGGGAGGAGCTCTGTCGTGACGTCACACGGATGTGCATGAGCATTCTAAAAAGGAATGACACGACCTGCTCGGGACGGCATCACCAGGGCCAGGGAGGACGCTTGCGAGGCATTTGTACGCGGGCCCGTTCTCGAAGGGACTCGGATCTCCAGCAGGCGTCGCCTCGGTTTAACCCTGTGACTGCCAGAACCTGGACGGTCGCGAGCTTCACTCTTTTTCTTTCATCTCTTCGTTACCAAAGAATCGCTCGATACTTTCACTAATTACCATGGCGTGCCTTCATGAAATTACTCTCGGTATCGGACCTTACAAGTTTAACGGCGCGGCCTGAAACCGATGGCTAAAAATTCCAAAGTCATCCATTCCCTCCTGCTCGCATCCTCGCATTTGCTTTTGGTTTCTTTGTAATAAAAATGAATTTGCGATAGAGTGGGTTTTTTTTTGGATATCGCGTAGTTCATCTCATATGATAGGTGCTGAGGAATCTTGGCCTATTTTGGAGGAGTGGTATTCCTACTAACGTCGACGAAAGCCTGCGCTGACAGGCGCGAACGTACGCTCGCACGTGCAAGTACGGGCGTTTCCCCGGCGATTTCATGAAAAACTCGTTCCATTTATCAAAGGGAGAAGGCTTGATTAAAATTAAAATTAAAATTAAAATTGAAGCGGATGAACGAAAAAACAAGGCGTCAAGTCGATCTGAAATGCATGCAGAAGATAATTATCTCGTTTTCGAATTTCTGAGAGAAAAAAATCACGATCGATCGTCGGTATCGAAACCAATAAAATGCCGATGCGTTCTCCCGACTCGTCCCGAAACAAGGCCCTAACCCCGAGCGGGAGCCTCTCGGTATTCGCGAAGCGATGGAAGAAATTACCTCGACTTCGAACCGTGTTGAACTTCCTCGGACGACTCCGCTTCCAACTTTTCCCCCTCCATTTATTTCCTGGGAAAGAGGACCCGATCCGGCAGCCGCACTCGGAGCACCCGTCGAGCACCCGACTGTAGTGGGGAATGGAAACAGGGCGACTCGAATCTTCGAGGATTGGAACGAGTGGAGGTTTTGACCCCTCTGCGAAGTGACACCTTCACATCGGAGCAAACGAAAGTGCCCCTCCCTCGATTGCACGATGCGCGTCCTCGAGCTCGCCACGATGACATCGGCACGATCCAGAACGTCGGAAGACGAGAGAAAGTGTCGGACGAACCGACCGTCGACCGAGGCCTTTTGCTTCCGGGACGAGACTGCGCCTCCGGCAGGCGCGTCGCCGACGGAACGCCTCGGAATGCAACGTCGGTTCCGTACGGCGTTCGCGTCGGTGACCGCGACGGAAGCGTGGCACGTCGGAACGACCGTGCACGGATCCTTCGAAGAAAGCATGAAAACTACGTCCGATTCCGAATTTCGTGCCGACCAATCTGGCGCCGAACCACTCGGTGCATCGCGGAGCTCGGCTGTCGACATTTTTCGGTTCGGTTACAGTTTCCCGGCGATGAAGACGGATTTCGCTTTTCGCTTTGGTGTCCACCTCCTGTCATGAATTGCGATTCAAATTACAAGTAGTGACCATCCACATTTCCCTCTTGAAAAAAAAAAATACAACCAGAATCCTTTGAGGTGAACTTCGAGGCTCGGGCGACCAGATAAATCCGATCCACAGCCTTGCGACCGTCACTTCTAACGACCTCAGTCGCCTCACCGACACGAACCGAGATCCAAGGTCCATGCAGCGAGCCGTGCCCCAATCTCAAGCGAAACATCCGTCGAACGCCCGCAAAAAACGCGTGGAAAGCGTAGCTCGGTGAGGAAGGAGCCATTACGTAGCGAAAATGAGCCATTACGACGACGAAGTCGACTGTCGAGAGCATGACGATGCAGCTCGATCCCGTGACGATGCGCGTTTCGCGAGGAAACGGACGAGCGATGAGAAAAGTGGGACGAAAAGATGCGAGTTCTTCTCGATCGGAATCCAAACGAACTCGGTGTGAGGTTCGAAACACGCGACATCGTACATCGAACTGTAGCAGAGAAATTCTTGGTGCGCAATCGTACCTAATTTGGGAAGGTTTCGTGATCTTTTTCCACAGTAACCTCTGTTCCCAAAAAAAAAATGTGGAAAATTCCATAAATAAAGGTGATGAACTCACGAGCGACGCCCCAAAAGCAAGGCCGCCCCGGGGAATGCACTCGAGATGGCGCGAGCACGGGAGTCCGAGTGCAACTGCTTTCCGATGCCCCGAGCATCCACGTAAAATGTCGCGATTCTCACTCGATCGTCATTGGAAATAGACTTCCGCAAGCGCCTATTCAATCGGCCCTATCGCTCTTCGATCCCTTCCCGGAACGAAATTCAACCTCGTCGTATTAATCTCTGAGAGCATCTGCAAGAAGGAAATCGGACATGCTTCTTTCATTCTCGACACAGAATCGCTCCAGCAAATTTTAAACTCCTTCTCCCCGGGATTCTGAATAACATTCCATCTCGCTTTTTCAAGATGCCAATATCATTCTTCCCCCCCCCCCCCCCTGGTGACCACTCGGTGAAGAGTCTCGGATGAAAGAGACCAAACAAAAGAAAAGTTTTGACTTGTAGATGACGAAAAAGCCTTTTTCTGATTTTCTATGCACCATTTCGCCATTTAAAACATGAAATCAGCTGTCGTTCATTTAGGCTCAAAGTGGTGGCTCAAGTTCCGTTTCCCAGTGTTGCCGAATATCGTGCCGGAGTTGTGCGGGATTCAGGACTGCTACTGCTTTCGTATTGCCATCTGGATCTACCTTTCTTTTTAAATGTGTGATACGCATTTGTGCCGAGTTCATGGGATGAGGCGAGACTGAAGCAGTGGTCAGCGGCGGCCATTCCATGCGGTACGATATGAAAATACGTTGCATGGACATGATGACATCCTCGCTGAAGATGGCGTCCAGCTCTGAGTTTCATTCTCGGGGGCATGGTCTTTCTTAACATTCTCTCCTCGGTCCTCGCCGAGATGGCACGAGTAGTTCCAGATAGGCCTAACGTTACAGTCCTCACTGAAATGGTTCGGGAAACTGGAATCGGCTCGTAACCGGCCTGACTCACCCTCAGCGAGACATCTCGAAGCCTCGAGATTCACCCTTACAGGCCGAATCGGCTCCGTAAGTCGAAGAAAACGAGTTTCTTTTGAAGAAAGGTAGGTCTAGATCTGACCTGAAAACAGTCCGAGGGTTTGGCCGAGGCCTAAAGTCCCATAGAGAAGAGAAGGGAAAGCCATTGAAAGTGGTTTTCACACTACTTCATTGATCGAATTCCTCGCTAGTGAAGGAGTGTCTCCTGCAGAAATTCATTGTGGTAACAAGGCTTTTTTTCAGTTGATGCACGTGTGGATGAGAGAGATGGTTCGCTGGACGAATCGCGTGGACAGCGGAGAAAGTCCCAATAGAGATGTAACTGTTGTCGCTCGTCATGGCTGTCGACGGGAGTGTTGCCCGTTACGGGTATCCATGGCCGTCTGTCGCAAGGTCAGTGGCGGCTCGTAATATTTAGCGCTAGTGGTTCGTCTATGGAGAGGGGGTAGGCAGCGCCCTCCCCTGCCTACCCCCTCTCCATCGACGAACCACTAGCGCTAAATATCACGAGCCGCCACTGCGCAAGGTGCATCTTCGTGTGACTTTCTCCACGCGACACAGTACGAGGGGCACTCCAAAAGTTTTGTCGTTGTAATGATGTAAGATATGGCGGGCCTAAACCGTGTTCACAGTTTCAGATAACTTTTGACCGAGCGACGGTGTTCGTTTCAAACAAACTTCATTATAACCAGGAATAATGCAATCTTTTTAAAACCTAAAAGTTCATGTGCCCAATATGCTCATACCTTCTAGAACAGGTTCGAAATGGTTCCCCCCATTCTCATTGCACCCACGAACGGAGAAGCTCTCGATTGTCGCTTCCAGCGCTGCTGGCGCCATGCAACGGACCACCTCTCTCATTCCGTCCTTCAACTCTAAAATGCCCTGGATTACTTCCCCTCCTTGACGTTGCCTCATAGGAAACGGTCGAGAGGGATCCGGCGAACGAGGTGGTCGCGACATGTCCGTCCCGTCCCTCATCACTCGCTCGCCGAAATTCTCACGTGGCCACCGAAGGCCGTCTCGAGTGGAGTGGCGAGAGGAGGGCGAAGGGATGAGGGAAGGGGATGTCGTCTCTGTTCCCGTCTTCTCCTTCGGATCCATTCGGCCATGATGGCGTCGCTTAGCGATCGCGCTCCCCCAGAACGAACACGCGTTTTATGGAACGTAACGCAATTAGAAGAGTCTTTCTCTTTCTCTAGGTAAAACGGATGGGGATGGGATCGCGAGGAAGAAGGTATTCTCGGACTCGACGCGTTTTTCCCGCTTCGTCATCTGCTGCGTTGGCACACGCTCCTAAGCTCTTTGACGCCCTTCCGTTAATTGGAGGCAGGAGGAGGAAGAGAGTCACAATCGCCAACTCCATTCGGGGATGAAAACCGAACTGATACTACGGGTGTTCGAAGCGGGAAGCGGGGAGTGGCGGCTGGGGTTTCGGAGGAGGCACCCTGCCTCCGTCTGCATCCTCAAGTGGCTGGCTTACCTGGGCGCCGCGGTCCTCGTCCTGGCGTTCATCGTGGACACGAAGATCACCATGGTCGCCCTCGCGTCCAGACCGATTCCACCCTTCGGCTCCATGGTGCGTTGCGTGCAGGCAGAGTTTTTCTACTCTTACTATCTAAATGGGTCCGAACTCCCGTTTCGAGTCTGGCATGCTCTTTCTCGAGAAAAGTAAACGTGCTTTTAAAAATTTACCAATACCGCTCATCTCTTTTTAGTGTCCACATACGACGAGTTCCTCTTCGTGTGACTCGTTAGAGTCCCTCCTGTCCTCTTCCCTTCCTCACGTCGCTTCCAAAATAATCTATTGCACGAACAAACAGCGTTCGTTCGTGCAATTTGCTCAGCGAACAAGGTTCGTTGATCAATTAGATCATAAGTAGAGATCAGAGACGTAACTATCTCTACGGTTAATTTGCATCAGCAGATGCCACAGATCCCCTTCAAAGTCAGCACTCTTAGCTCAGGGTCCCACTTTTCCAATCGAGTGAATAGTTTATTGTTTCGAGCAACAACCAAGGACTAGATTCCTGCTATGATCTACACGAACACGCGATGTGAAAAGTCTCATCCTCTTTAAAATTCCAATTTGTAGAGCGATCAGGGCAGTGGCGGATGCAGAAATTTCTCGTAGGGGGGGTAGTTCCCAACCATTCCGCCCCCCCTTCCCCGCCTACCACCAGTCCCCGTCCGATCACCTTTTTCATTTTTCGTCTGGGGTAAAAACTTGAATATCTATTTCACTGGCCACAATAAAAGTTAATGTAGATACGATTTAAATATAAATAAATAAATAGAATGCTAACTAGGCCATAGGGGGGGCCATCGCACCCCTGCCCCCCCCCCTTCCTGGATCCGCCACTGGATCAGGGTCACATCGGAGTCTGTCCTACATTTTTTCATTTTTTCCCGTCTCTTCGTCTGCAACTCCGCCTCAGCAAGCGACACGTCCGCAATTATCCATGATTTGTTGCACGCGGTCCTTCCCCGTCAAGTTTCATTTCAAATCACTTTTCTTGTGAAGGATGTGATTTCTTTGATGGCCTGTTTGGAGAGCTTTTAGAGTACCGGACGATTCTTACTCGACTGATGCAGAATACTTTTTGAAGCACAGATACCAAGCCCTCGAGCTGTGTTCATAGGAAGAATGTCCTTAAAATGTCTCCTTAACACTTAGAAGCCGAGGGGCTTGCCCAACGAGTCATACCATTCCAAAAAGCCCCGTGGCTTTTGGGAATATTGGTAAAATACTCCATTTCAGCGGCTCAAAATTCCTATGACGTTCATGTACTGACCAGGGCACATGGGAAAAGCCGGCGTTGACGTATATTTACCGACTTGGGTTTTTAAGGTGTTAATGTGTTGCCAAGCTAGGTACATTTTTCGCTTTTCAGCGGAGGGACGCCCCATATCTCCAGAAGTTTTCAGAACTGAAAACATAGCGGAAATTTAATGGAAATCTGTTATTTAATTTCTGTATTTCTGCACGTTGCGCTACAATGTTGGCATTTCTATTTGAGCTTTATATCATATGCGTTCAAATAACATCAATATTGTATCGACGGACGAGGCAGAAACACATTAAAAGAACCGTCATTCCTAGAGCTTAACTTATAGAGAAATAATAAAAACGAGAGACGAGGGTGGCACCATGATGACCTGGTGGTGAATGGTGCTAAACATTCAAGTTATTTTTGGTGACCTACAGGTCATCAAAAACAACTTGAATTGGACCTGGAATAACCTAATGGTTTCCGCTTTAAAGGGGCAATCGTGAAAAGGTGGATTGAGAAAGATTATTCGATCCGTGTTCGTGAAGCATGTAAGAAAATCAAGTCTGCATGTACGAAAAGCATATTAGAGAGTGTAATTTGCAGATCTCCCACCAGCCAGAAGTATCTGCTGCATGAGGTGTCTCAGAAATGATGAGCCAAATGCTAACAATTATTCCCAGAGTTTTTAAGGGACAGAACGATGAATAATTCCCAAGTAGCTCGTTGGTAGAGGGGCCACCGCCTACGTTTGGGGAAGAGAGCTGGTGGCCCACCACCTTTACTAGGTCGTAGGCCACAAGGTCATGTCCACTTGCCAGCACTGGCCCGCCACCTTCCGGGCCGCTAGAGGGCCAGCACATTACCAGTTAGCTCGTTTTTGGTGTACCACCTGCTGGGAAGGGACCTAATACCCCCTGCACATCTGATTCGCCTCAATAACTTGAAACTCTAGCCTATTCAGAAGAGTTTACAAGAGTACTAAGATGCTCTGCTCTCCTTTACCGCATCCGATACGGAACCCTGAGGTAGTGGGAAGGACTCTCCGAGTATCGAGTCACATCATATACACGAATCTCATATGGTATGAGGAAACTAAAGCACTCTACCCGTCCCTGGTTCCCTACTCTCCCATATTTTCGTACTTAACTTCAGCATTTAATAAATCTCTGAATATTATAATGCAATGAAAACATCATAATTCCACACTTTCCTCATATCTGTTTATAAATTGCGCAATAAGAAGAGGAATGGGGGGGAAGAAATACTTTTGCTAAGTCAGGAAGGCAAATACTTCATTGCATTTGTAGGGTGCAGGTAACAGGGGTACCATCGAGTGGGGACTCTTGGTACTGCATCTTGGGGAATGCCAGCAACATTATGGGAAGAGAGCTGCTGGCCCTCCATCTAAGCTAGGTAGCGGGCCAGCAACTGCATATCCCACTTGCCGCCATGTTCCGACCCATGCAGAAATTTGCCAGTATGGTGCTTGGGCCGCTTAGGGCCCACTACTTTTGTGCTCCTTGGTTGTTTATTAGAAGGCTTGAATTTTGGAAGGGACCCATCCATCCCCTTCCCCCCCCCCCCTCCCATAGTGAGTGATGGTACATCCCTGTATACCCCTTCACTGTCCACCGCCAGTAGCCACTCGGTCGAAGCAGCTCTCAGGAGAGGCATCCAGAGCACACCCTACATTTGTCTCGGAGCGTTTCAGAGCTAGTCTTCGAGAACCTGGCTCGGAGCAAGGATATCCCATAATTTTTTGCTGTGCGCATCACCCTCGACGTGGCGCCATTGCTCGAGTCGGGCCGACGTCATTCGGAAGTATTAGGAACTTCCAGCTATAAGTCATTCCTCGACACCACCGAAATAGCGGTTATTTACGTCGTAGGCGCCATCTTCCAACATTTGTGGGAACCTCGTTCCCTCGAGCGACCGAGACAGATGGCTTTCCCGCACACAGCGCACGATGCTGCCCCACTGGCTTCAAAGTGGATCTACACGAACGACCCACTGCGATGTAGACCCATCGTCCATTAAACCAAGCGGCCAACGTGGGCCGAACGCGATGTGCACCTATCTATCTAGGCTATCATCGAGATTGGCACGTCCTGCCAATAAGAAATGTTCGCATCTCGTATTTAAAAAAAAAGTAGTAATTATAATTGTTGTGGAGTCCGCTCGTCATTAATGGCACGATGAGATCGTCGAGGACATCGTAACGAAAGTAAGAATTCGAAAGTTAAAAGATGGAGAAACTTAAAAAGATGGAGAGGGATTATTTAATTTTTGCCCATCATGACGTCCACGTGTCGAGGTCATGCCGTCAAGCGAACTAAGATAGACCTCCCCCTCTAAGGACAGACACGATGCATTTGTGTCTGTCCTAAAGAGAGGGTCCTTCCAATATACTGTATATTTATGAGAAGCACATCCTCCTACCGCCCGGTCACTCGCAGCGACACGACTCCTCGTTTTGTTTCTTCCATGAAAGCATCTCGCCTGCTCTTGAAGCGCGTCGCGGGGTGTGGCAACCTCTACCTTGTCGCCTAATGCATTCCGCCCATTAACCACCCGAAGAGCGTGGAAGTGATTCCGCAACGCGAGTCTCACTTGGGATTTATGGAAATCAAACCGGCTCCCTCTCGTCCCGTTGCCACCATCGAGTCGGAGAAAACTACCGCTCTCGCCAACGTTTCCTCTCGCACCTCGCGCGAGAGTCCTCGTACCTCTTTCATCTTTTTCGTCGTCCGCCTACGAATCCCTTCGAGACTCGTTAGATCGCTCTCGCTAGATCGCTCTCGCTTTCGGATTTCCGTGACCGGGCGCAATTCTCTCGATGCGGGCTCGGCAGTGCTGCATGCAGCGAAAGAATAACGCGTGGGCTCTCATCGCCCGGTGACGTTTAGCTTACGTTCCCCTGCGCGTGAGAGAATTTGAGTTTCTCTTGCGAGGCGACCCCAGCGTCTCTCTCCCCGTTTGCCTCCTACGTATCGGCCCTGCCAAAGGCATGACGAGACCGGTCGTTATTACGATCGACGCGAAGGACCTCTCATTTGTTCTCTTTAAACGAATCGTCTTCCCCCTTAGTAGGGAAAGCCATTTCCGTGTCGTCGGCAAAATTGCCGATTTCACTCGCCCTCCTCCGTCTCGATCGTGAAACGAGTGCGGTCGTCTGCCCTCTCCATCGAGGACTCCCTCGGTCCCCCCGCGAACTCCGACGTTCACCGGTCGTGGGGCAACGTCATGGATGATGCGTACCGACCAAAAAACCAAGCGATATCCCTATTCTGAGCCGTGTTAAAGAAGGCAAGCCGTGAAACGTGCGAAGGCACGCGAAAGGGCGTGCCATGGATGCCTCTCCTAATACGTGGTTCCGTCGAGTGGCTCACGACGGAGGACGGTTCCAGGTCCTACGGGGCGAATCCATCGCGTTCCGAATCACTCGTGTACGAGTGCTCGTGGTCGGTCGATGTCGGTAAAACGTCGGTAAGTGGCAGGTGTGCGACGTCGTGACACGTGGCAGCCGAGGTCGAGCCGACATAGGCAAAATGCCAGAATTTGGTTTCACGGCGTGGAGTAGAGATAGCCTGTCGATAGCAAGCTAACATCGATTTTTTTACTTTCACCAGAGGCGAGGCAGAATGTTGAGACCGTTAGCGAAACTCGTCGCCAGATATCGCTTGGATGATGAAAAACTACGCGACTAGCCGGATAAATGCAGAACTAGAGTGCACCCAGAAATCAGCGCCGTCGACCTAAAGGATTTCCTAGAAAGTCTGCATATTGTGGCCTTCCACGATGCGTCCACGAGGGACGCATCGCACGAACTGCCGACTCGGTATCTTACGTGGCCGGTCGAGGATGACTGAGGGATTTTCCTCGTGGCATGGACGACCTGCGATCTGTGCAAGGTGACTGTCGATCGAGGCGCATCATCTAGAATAGCGGTTCTCAACCTGGGGTCCATGGGGTAGGTCCAGGGGGTCCGTGGAGGGTCCATGGAAAATTATATACCTGTATATAATTGAAGGTAGCTCCCGAAAACATCATTTATGATCACAAATCCAGGTGTTCCAAAGTTTCTGATAACCGGGGGTGGGGGTTCATGGGTAATACTTGGAGATCTGTGGGGTCCGTAGGTGCAAAAAGGTTAAGAACCCCTGATCTAGAAGAAAGATGTAACTCTGGAGACTGTCATCTCGAATTTGGTAAATCGCCGTCTTCTTTATCCTTTGTGTACGGGGGACGTGTAAGTCTTTCGGTGCCATGGAACTAGAAGATACACTGCAGAAAGTGAAATGCTTTGGGTCATCTGCCGAAAGGGCCTCTGCAATGTTCGAGACGGGGCACGTCCGAACGCAACCGCGCCGTCTGGAGGAATGAGGCCGTTTGCGTCAGTCTCTCTCGAAGGCACGTCATTTCATCGTTCAGAGGAATTTATGAATGCGTCATGCTGTTCGTTTTCTCGCTTTATGGATCAGGCAGCTCCGTACTCCCGAGCTTCTCTGGATCGTGTGCCATCCCAAATGAATAATTTCCATTAGCATGTGAAGGAGTAATGTAAGAAATGATAAAATGAATGTCGATATATTCCATACGGCTCGATGTTAGTCCGATTTAAGAAAATGTGGACAGAACCCTGGGCGCAGGTGCGCATCCGACGTCAGCCCGACGTTGCCCGTCGCCATATTTACAATGGGCCGACGTCGGCCCCACGCATTCCAGGTCGGCATGCTACGTTGGACGCGCCCGACGCATTTTTGCCATCCGGGATACCACGTATCTGACGGGTGACGAAACACCGCCTGTCCGCCGAGAGCCTCGTTTCCCCGCGTCCTGTTGCCTCGCGAGTGAATATCTACCGATGACTTTGGATCCATCAGGGAGACATCAACTGGGAGGCGAAGATGAAGGAGACCCACCCGGAGACGAAACTGGACGACAAGGGCCACTACGGGATCCTCCTCGACGCCGTCCCCGCCTCGATGCCCACGCCGCCCACCCCCGACGACGTGACGTGGGTGAGCTCGTGCCCCGTGGAGCGGCTGCATCGCGTCGCCGCCATCGTCGCCGCCTGGCAGGTCGGGATCCGAACTCTCGCGATCCTTTCATTTTTTCGTTCGTTCTTCCGAATCGAATGACGAGTGTTCGCAGACGGGAGAGCTCTTTTCTGAAATATGTTTACGATTTCGTTCCTATTTCTTTGCGTTAAATTAGCTGTATGTTAAGGGAAGATCACGTCCCAATGAATAGTAGCATTCCAAAGTACATTTAAGTGATCGAGACGATTTGCGCCGAAGGCAGCTCTCCCGTTTCGGTAGATACGAAGGGAGAGTAAAGAGGGCTCTCGTCCCGATGAGTCGTCTCGTTCCAGGGTCCCGTATCCTTGGTGGTGTTCCTCTCCACCCCGGCCAACGCGAACGCCACCCTCCGGATCATCGGATGCATGCGAAAGAGCGACAAGAGGATCGCCCGGAACGTGGCGTTCCACCTGGTGTTTCCCGTCCGGCGGACGACGGACGAGCCGGACCTGCCGGACGGGCTCCGGGACCCGTCGTGTCGGAACGTCTTGGACGCCCTGCCGAAGGCGAAGGCGAAAAAGAAACCGTTCGGGCCGCAATGGGACGTGGAGTATCCGTACGCCCTCATGAGGAACGCGGGTCGGACGGCGGCGAAGACAAAGTTCGTGTTGGAGATCGACGTGGAATTCCTTCCGAATCCGGGCCTCAGGGCCGGCTTCCTTCGGTTCGCGAGGGGGAATCGACTCTTTTCGCCCGAGAAGGATGAGATCTCGTACGTGGTGCCTGCGTTCGAGAAGCGAGTGGGAACCCCGATGCCGGCAGACAAGGCGGAATTGATGAAACTCTGGAAGGAGGGAAAAATACGACCGTTCAACGACCGCGTTTCCAGCTTGCAACAGGTGAGGATCCGCTCCGTTTCGCCCTGGGATTTCCGTGGAGTGGCACAAATTTTCGCCTCGAACTCTCGCGAAACGCTTCTCGTGCGAAGGGTGATGCAGAGCCTCGTTCGCCGTCTCGCCGCGTCGAGAGAATCCGTTTTCGTTTTTCGGCGTCGTAGGACGAGAGGAAGGCCGGCTTCCTCGAGTCGCTCAGCCGTCGTGTCGTCGTGTCTTCGTTTCGGCGCGTCGATCGATCGCGTTTCGCTCCCGTCGGTCGTTCGGGATGCCCGGCGTGCATCGGGCCGACGCTCTGCATGTCAGCGAGTGAGTCTCGATCGACCGACGAGGCCGGAACGTTCGCAGAAGTGACGAAATAGGAGATGCTATCTTTGCACGGCCGAGCAGTAAACACGATGGGAGGAAAATGAAAAGATTTACTCCAGTGACAACTCATCCCCTGACCCTGAAAGTAGACTTTTCTTTTCGCAACCGGTAGGAGATTCCGACCAGGACTTCGTGGGTCCTTCCGGGATGGTCCTTCCGTATCGGCCCTTCCGGATTGCCTCGCGATGGCGACCGGTTCGACTCCGCACCTTCCTTTACGTCTCGGCATTTCGCGATTTTCCGCAGTCACAACCATCCCGAGCCGTTCAAACGATAATCCATGTCTCGATCCACTCGAAGGAGTTAATGTTATAAATGACGTCGATATCATTAAACTCCTTGTCGGTGTTGCAATTGCAACGGTGAGCAGTGTCCACTTTTTGCGATCTTCTCCTCTCCCGCTCTCTCGTGAGTCGAGACGAGACGACAGAACGATCGGCGTTCGTCATATCGTCATCGATCGCATTAATTTGGAGGCGTGTGCTCTCTGCTGCTATAATCGCAAGAAATGTCAAACTTCGTCACCACAGGAGAAAAAAGGGTCATTTTAGGGGTTTTTCTTGCGGTGCTTGCCTGCCGGAAGTAGACGACATGCACGTCCCAAAACACTTCATTTATCGTCCTGAAATTCAATCGTTTGGTACGTCGCATGATTAGAATGGGCCACGGAAGGGCGGCTCAGTGCAGGAGTGCGAAAGGAGCGAATAATCAAGTTTCACACCATTTCTTCCCCTCCACCCTCCCCTCTTTTGTGTGAAATGCACACGGCATCGGAGACGGATGGCCGGCTCACACCCAGCATCACTCTACGGCATACTCTCCCCCGTTCCCCTCCCGACCTGGAACATCCTCCTCCCAATCCCCTCCCGACCTGGAGCATCCTCCACCCAAAGCAACTCGCGAATTGCAGCAGCAGTGCGTGGTGGATGGGAGCAGCGTAGGCATCGTCTACTCTGCCTCCATCGAAATCCTACCACCGTGACAGATCACGAGCCGCAACCGTAACCTAGCCATGCGACGTACGAATCACAGCTTTTAGTATTTTTATTTATTTTTAATGACGCGGCAAAAGAAGGCGATTCCAGAGGTATAGCGATCGGTGGGATGGCCGAATCTCTCGTTTTAGAATGCGAATGCGACTCTAAAGCTTTTCTTTTTGCAGAAGGGGACTTGGTACAAGCGATGGAGGAGGCTGCCGCCATCAGACGAGATCTCCGCCGCATTCCAAGCCAACTGGCACTACATGTACGAGCCTTTCGTGATCTGGAGGAACTCGGCCCCTCGCTACGACGAACGCTTCCGACAGTACGGCTGGGACCGCGCGAACCACGTGAAGACCCGATCCCTTCCTTCGACTCGCTCGAGTCGTCACCAATTAAAAAAATTGTCGATTCCGTTCCAGATGTGTTCGGCGCACGTGGCAGGCTTCGACCTGTTCGTCCTGGACAACGCCTTCGTGATCCACGACGGATTCCGCGGAGAAGATTCCGCGTCGCGCGAACGGATGCGGGAAGAACTGAAGAGGAAGACCCTCGTGAATCTGGCCATCCGGGCGGAAGAGCCCGAGAAGTACCACTCCGAGCGGAGAAGTTGCGGCTCCAGATTTCTGTACTTCCTCGAGTTTCTCTACGTGGCCTGGGCCACCTTGCCGTGATGTCGTCGTTCGAATCGCGTTCGGAAACGGTAATAATAAAAAAAAGGGATCGTCTCACCTTTCCGCAATCACAATTCTCGTTTTGGTTCAGACTTCAAATTCCAGAATCGAGTAAAATCGGCTGGAAATTTGTCCGGACCCTGCACCGAACGAGGATTCGGGACGTTGCCCCAAGCCAACATGTCGCCTGCAATTGCGTCCACTCTCTCGACGACTCATGATTCTCGGACGAAAAGAAATTCCTGGCACCCACACTTGAACACGTGTTAACGCGAATTTCAGGAATTTCCCATGCGCAGTTTCGGTACTTTCGCTTCTCGGTACTTCCGAAGGTAGCACAAGACATCGAATCGACATCGGGTGTGCGAATATTGAGGGTCGAAGGTGAACATCGAATCAATCTTCTTTCAATGTCCTGTGTTACCAGGGCAGTGTAGCAAGGGCGCTATCATAATGAAGTACCAAAAGCCCTCACTAGATGGTATCCATATTCCCCCATAGCCTCCCGATGCAATTACGGATCTATCATCCTACGTTAAAGAGTTATCTTCCCCCCCTTCCCCTTTGTATAATGTAATTAATGAACATTTATATAAGAGAAATGTTTATGATGTTCTGATTGCAGCATCTAAAGCAAATTAAATGTCTAGGTTTAGTTTGGGCAAATAGAAGTCTACCTCGTATGTGATTAGAGACATGTAGAGCATCCTGTAGAGTATCTGGTATAGTATGGTATTAAGTGGTTACGTAAGAGGAGTGATCTACTCACGTAACCTCTTGACAGGGAAACGGAGGAAACTTGTTCTTATTCAGGTAAGTCCGTAGGTACTTCGTGTTCCAGTGCTGTTTGCAAATATGAATGGAACACATCCTCTTATATTCAATATTCCACCATCTGGGACAGACCTATAGGGACCGAAGAGGATTCATCCTACATTGTTTGGATAGTTCATTATTCATGAGCTATTCATAATGTTGAGTTTACCTCTACTTGGCTCCATGGAGGAATGCAATTACCAGAGATTCATCGAAGAATGTTTAATGAATGTTGATGCAATGTGGAAATGATGTCGAATGAGTGTTTCCATCGATATTGTTTCAACACTAACAATGAACGCTGAAACAATGTTGAAGAAAATGACATCGTCACAATCAATGTGGCATTTCGATATCGTTTCCACACGGACGATTCACCCGAGTCGTCGACGCGTCGGGGAATGGAAAGGACCACTCCCTACGAGTGATGCTTTCCGGGGGCGGATTCGCATCTCCCGAAGCGGAGTCGACCGAGGCGACCCCCCCCCCACGAGAGAACCGCAAACGACGACGACACTGCTGCCAAACTCGACTCGGCTTCCGTGACATTCCAAGTAGGCCCCCGGCTGTGACCGCCTCACGCAAATACGATATCGCTATCACAGAACTCCTCGTCACACCCGATGCAACCTATTTTGGTTTTAAGTGGGTCTCCTTTCCTGAAAAGAAAGAGACCACTTATGGGCCCGTCCTGTCCGTCCGTGTGTCACACTTTGGTTGTCCGACGATAACTTAAAAAATATTGGCCTGATCGATCCGAAAATTGGCAGATTGGTAGGCTTGAACAACATACAGGCTGAGTTCGTTTTGTGGAGAATATGCACCAAAATATGCATTTTTATTGCAAATTTTGGATTTGAAATTTGGTCACTGAGGGGAAGGCACTCATACCCGTTCGCCCTTCAGGTTCTGGACCACAATGCGCATGCGCCTACGACTCAGGCTTTCAGCGCGGCGCCCTGTCAGCAACCAGAGCTGTCAGTTCCCTACCAGCCTTGGTGGTGGATGGATCCAACCACGCACAGCCCTCCATCCGCCCATCATCGTTTCGTGGGCACCATTTGTCTATGATTATCAAATTTAAATGAGAAATGAGGTTTTTGATGGTCGAAGACCGGAAAGAGATGGCATTTTGTTTAATTAGACGACCAAATGAGGGTTTCCTTAACTGAAAGGAGACCAACTACTGGACTGGGCTCGCCCAACTTTCTTTTTCTTCATCCCCTCCCCCACCCCTCATTTTCCCTCTTCCCTCAACCCTCTTAGACCCTCCACCCTCAACCCTCCTGGCCCCTCTACCCCTCCTCCTTCCCCTCTCCTTCCACATGGATCCCCTAATCTTCCCCATCCCTGAGATGGAACGAAAGAAGTACAGGTAATGCTGATGGGGAGTCTCTAGAGAGTCCATATCGTAAATCCGTCTCGGTAAAGTATTGTGTACGATTTAGGTCCTCTACGACCTCTGTCGAGATCGCAATCGTTCTGTAGGCAAACTCGTACTCGAGGCTCGAAAACGAACGGTACCTTCGAGGAAACACGTCCAGAATCCGCTTGATATACGTTTGCATGTCGAGGAGGAGACGAGGGCAAATAAATCGTGGAACGCGACGGAGTGCATGCAGATGCTTTCCTCCTTCGATGCCGGCCGGGTTCCTCGAGGACCTCGAGGGCCTCGAGGGCTTCAAGGACGCGATGGACACGAAAGGACGTCTTGCTCCACCCTATGCCGCTCGTATTCCGAAGCGGACGGGGTACGGTGGCGACGTCGGCGGGTTTTTTTGTCTCCGTCGCTCGGCTCCCGAGATGCAGAGAATTCCTTAACGGATCGGTTCGCATTCAATGAGATATCCTGGTCGTTCGGATGCCCTGTTTTTTCTCGTCTCGAGGCAAACTTCCCCTCGGTATTCCAGCAAGGGGATATTGGATCCTCCGATGAATGGGTTTCTCGAAAACAGGGTCTCATTAAAATTGCGATAAGTGGGGAACGGCTGGACAGAATCGCCTCGTGGTACCTTCTGCCCCTCTCGACCTAGCAGCTAGCGGCAATTGATTCCTTTGCACTACGAACGATGAGGATTCGTTACGGCTGCCTCATGGCATCCACCACGTATGCAGATTATAGGGCCTCCGCAAACCAAAGGGTGGCAAAGCATTTCCGCCGTCGGCGAGGATGCGATCGGCAACCTACGAGCGACCCGGCGCACTCGTGAGCCGTGAAGCACCGATAACGTTGAGACGTTTCGTCCCGCCGTCCTTCAGCCGTTTCCATGAAAATGTTCGTCGTGGCATATGGGCAACCCCGATGACACGTGGTTGCATCTAGGATACTCTTTTTTTCTGCTTTTATTCGTAACTGTACCTGCAATATTTATATGGCCATACTTTATATATTGCAGTATCGACAACATAAAGTATGTTGTCGTTCGCCTATCACTCCAAGGTCCAAGGTGGAGGAACGCTAACGTGCCTTTTCTTTCCGGAACGGCGTGTCGCGTCAAGGTCTCGCAATCGTACAAAGTACACGGACGGGATTAGGAGATTAAGAGACGGGATTTTTGCCTAATTGACTGTGGGATCGCCCGGGGCAGAGCAAGCCCCTTCGAGATCCGGCAACCCTGCTCGATCCGGCAACCCTCCGGCATACCTTTGACTTAACCCTTTCCCGGTCCGTGTCGTGATCTAACGCCGTCTCTTTCCCAACAGTTACATCTCGTCGGATGACGAACGTATATTGTACGTATACATAACGTATATATAACGTATTGCTAGGTCGTCGCCGTCGTCCGAGATGAAACCGGAATGCGGCAGGAGCCTCCAGGACGGAAGCCCACACCACGGCGTGAAACCCGTAACGAGCCCGTAACTGTGGAGAGTAGAACGGCGTTAAATCGCGCTACGGACCGGGAATGGGTCAAAGCGGTGGAAGGCAAAGACAAAAAAATAATAAAATAAAAACAATGATTTTTTTCCGATACTATCTGATTGGAAAGA